CAGGTCTGTCTTTTGGTGAGCTTCAAGGATATTTCTGGTACTTTTTGGCTATTGGAAGGCTAGGATGATAACTTTCTTGGATTCAGTATAATAACTATTGATGGTTGTTTGTATGTTGATTTTGTTACAAGTACTGATGATTGTATTTATGTGTGATGTCATGACATCTTGCCTGGAATATGTTGAGGTTGTTTTATTTTGTCTTCTACTGCATATGCCTCTGATGGAAGAAATATGGCAGTTTATAATTCGTTTTTCTGGTGTTAAGTATTAAAGAATATATATTCTTGGAAACCAGAATAGGTTGATCTTATCTCTGTCCATAAAATTGATAAAGGTCTATCAAGCTGATAAGTACGAGTGTTATGGCCAAAGTTTCTTAGGATTCTCTCAAGACCCATCTAAGGTGTAGATTTCCAGCTACTTACATCTCATTCTAAATCTTAAAGGATAAATATGATGAAAGCAATTCATGACCTTTCATGAGTTCCCATGTTATATCAAATGCGTTCAGCTCTTTGGGAGAAGAATTGTTAGAAGATAAGCTGATTTGGAAGTTTCTCGCGTCTCTTCCATGAGATTTGTCTTAAAGGTGACAATCTTTGTAGAAGTTCTTGTCATGAACAACTGGGAGTAAGATAAAGAGGAGAGCACTATGATCTGGATTTTGATGAAGGATTATCCTATGATGTTGTGTTACTAAGAGGTAATTTCAACAGGGTACCTTAAAGAATGGGTAGAAGGTCAAGACCTAATATCTAGAGCATATGCTCTGAAATTAGCAAGATCTATGTTGCTCAAAGAGGGGGGGGGGGGGGGTGGATCAGTTGTAAAGAACATCAAGAGAGAATAATATGTAGGTTGATTGAATGATCTTACTATCTCAAGAAACATCTCAAGGGGAGTCTTATATCTTGGTCCAACAAAGGTGCTATGATTATTGGTATATTTGCAAGACCAGTAGGTTTACCAACAAAGAGGTAATCTATAAATATCTCCCACTTATCTACTGGCTAAAAAGGAAGGAAATCTTTAGTTGTGCAGAAGGGATGAGGGTATATTATCAAGTTTCTATCAAGCAAATAAAATACCAAGCATCAAACCTTGGTTCGCCTAAAGGAAGGTTGTCACATGTCGAATTTAGAAAGTGGTTGGTGTGAATTGATGTATCTTATACCAGCTGTGCTACTTTGGTACTGTGGCCAAATATGAAGATGCTGAAAAACTAGATAGTTCAGGATTCTCATGTTTGTATGATGTTCTTCCTGATTAAAGGTCTGACATCTAATATGATGAGTTGTTTTAGTTTTGTGAATTAGTAGTCATTGATGGAATGAATAAAGTTCAGATAAGGACTTTTTCCATTAAAATATATCCTGAATGTCCAAGGAAGTAGAGGTGAAGATGTTACAATAGAGGTTGCAACATCAGTCTGATGCATTTTTTCTAGAACTTCCTCTCATGAATCTCATCGGGTTTTTGTAAGGTAAGAGTCTTAATTAAATTGATGTATACCCTTGTGATAATTGTTGATAGTTTTGGTAAGATTTAGAAAATTAAGATCAAATCTATTTAAAGCTATCGAAAGTTCTTAATCAACCTCTACAAAGGAAAGTTGTGTTCCAAATGGTGAATAAAAGCATGTATGTATGCTTGATTGTTGGTTGTTCTGAAAAGGATCTGGGAGGACTACAACATGGAAGAATCATACATATTTGAAGTTGTTAAAGATCTTTATAGGTTCTAACTATACTTAATGAATATCTCTGAGCTTCATGAATGTTAGTAAAATTTATAGAGATGTTGCTATCATTAAGGAAGTAAATGATGTTGAACCAAACATTGAAACATCGTCTCAAGAAACCGATTCTCCAAGTTAAAAGACTATGGATAACTGCATGAACTAAATCAGAAATTTCTCAATTTAGCTAGAGTTTAGGATCTTTATCCAGAGGGATAGATGATGAGGAATTTGGTCTGTAAAGGAATCTCCATTTTTTCCAAGTCTGATGATATCTTGTATTCAGAATTTAAGGAGACCTTGACAAGTTTATGTTGGAATAAATTTGTGCACCTTATAAATATACAAAGAAAAAACAGATGAAGTTGGTATTATTTTAGGATGACTGTCCTCAGGAAGCTAGTTTATCTTCTAAATCAACCAAGTTTTGTTTGTATCCTTGTTTTTACAAAGGATATGGTTAATGCTGGAGGAAATTGCTGCTATGTAGTGTTTTTGTATGCAATGTCAAAAAGGATGTTGTGACATTATACTATTGAAAGGTGGGCACATTCTATGTAATCAAGTCTGAAAGTTTGACTTGATAGAGCTCATTATTATTGGTCTTAGTTCTGCAAGTGATCTTGCTGCAAGCAAAGATAGTCTTGTAAGCTTGAGATCTCTGGGATGATAGTATGAGCCAGACTTAGCTAGCCCTTGAATGCAAGTCAGATTAAAATCTTGAAGGGTGTTTTAGAATATTTATCTACTACGGAGTCATCATAGAAGGCGTGTAAACTTTATTGTCCAGTCATCTATAGTTATGGTTAGACTAGACTGTTCCAATTAGAGTTTTATTTCTCGGTAGTTAAGGCTTAGAAAGTGTAGAAGAAAAAGAGAGTGCCTCTCTCTTGTGGTGAGTGGTGCATTGATGATAAGAGTAACTACACATGCTTAAAAAATGCTCCTATTAACTAACTCTGTGATACAAGCAAGGTAACCTCTCTCTTTGTTTAAAAATCAGCTGCTATGGGCTAGCTTTTCAAAGAGGAACAAATCTTGGATAAGGCTGATGCTATAAAGCCATGTTTGCTGGAAGCTAAAGAAGATAAGAGTGATGTTTCAAAATAGGATGGATTCAAAGAAAAATCTCCTGTTGAAGTTATTTACTAGTGTATCCATGTGAGTTCAGTGTTATATTTCGTATAACATTTGACAAAAGCAAGGAGTGCAGAAGGTCATTTGCAGGGGCAGTAAAAGTGTAAAAGTGTGTCTGTCCTGCAATTGTGTGCAGTAATGATGACATGTTTAAGTCTCTTATTTTGTGTAGTCTGTTTAGTTGGTGCTATCATTTGTGCTTCCATAATTTTTTATTGCCTGTATGCAATTTGTTCTCTTGTTCTCTATGGTTCAATGTGTACATTTACTCTATTTCTTTTTGTCAAGATTTTTGCTAAAAAGGGGAGTAAAGTGTTGTGTCTTGATGTTACATCACATGTCTTGACATGTTGATTAATATTGTGATAGGACCGTGCTACTAAGGGGGAGTTGTCTTATAATTGTAGTTGCTTGTTGTATGCAACTGTTTAGGGGGAACGTGATAGTCTGTCATGTTGTGTGTTTTCTGGTGTGTAGAGATGTCAAATAAAATTATTCTGACATTCTGTTTATGTGTGAACTTGGATAGCTCATGTGTTTTGTTCTTAGGGAATGAGTCTTAGATGTGTGAACTTGGATAGCTCATGCATGTCGTTTGGGTTTTCCTCAGTTTTGGTTTGTTTCTTTTTCTAGTTGGGTTTATGGTGACAAGGGGAGAAATAATTCTGGTTTCTAATCAAATGGTTTACCCTGGTTGTGGTTTTATTCCTCTTTCCTGGATTTTTTTTATGCTAAGATTATTTTAGTCAAAATTTTCCAAAGGGAGAGATTGTTAATACCATGTTTTTGTGGTTGGTTAAATTTTGGAAAAACATGGTTTGTCATAACAAGTTTGTTGTTATGTGATTTTCAACTAGATATCAAAGACAATGTCATGACATCTTGGTCTGATGCAGCAGGTGCTGCTGTTTAGTATTTCTTGATAAGATTTGATTTGATTTTCTTATATTCCTTTTGGATATATCTCAGTAATTTTCACAGGTCAAGAAGATGCAATCTGGAACAAGTGAATCAAATCTTCAATAGCATTAAAGTTTCTAAATTTGGCCGTTGAGCTAATTTAGGATACTTGAAGATTTGTTCCAAATTTTAAGGAGATATTCTCTGCAGCAATCAGTGCATGGATCAAGGAATAATTGGGCAGAGAATTTCTAAGCTCATAGACAGCTGAAGGCTTATAAAAGGAAGACCAAGACCTAGGACAAAATAGTTCTGAACAGATTGTAAAAAATAAGGGTTTAGGTTTGAGAGTCTCTCGTGTTCTTTGTGGTGTAAGTCATCATTTTATCTTTTTATATTTGAGGTAGACATGGTATTCTCACTCATAAACCTTTAGGTAATGAGTTAAGTATTGTTCTCCTCTAAGCTTATAAGCAAAGAGTTGAGTATTGTTCTTGGGAAAAACTTTTAAGAAAACCAAGTGTTATTAGTTAAGAGTCTTAACTAAGTATTGTGTTTGAAGTGTAATCTTCTATTGGGGTTATCCTTGTACTAGTTATTGTGATTGTAACTAGTTTATAGACTGTCACTGGGATTAGGGTAGATCTTTTTTATCACTACGATGATTGGAAGTGAGATGGCGATTTCTCATATCTATGATGTGCCTAGTTAGAAGTTGCATTAGGTAAGGATTATGAGAGAAGTTGTAAATTGAGATTATTTAGGCTTTGAACTAATAATACTAATAGTGGATTTCCTTTCTGACTTGGTAGTCCCCAGAGTAGGTGATTTACACCGAACTGAGTTAACAATTGATTATATTCTTTATTGTTCTGCTTTTAAAATTCTGCCTATTATTTCAGTTTAATATTACTACTCAGTTTATCTACACATGTTGTAACATCTGTCCTGACATGATGTTTTGATGTTGATAAACATCAGTAGGTACATGGTATACAAGTGCCACAATTTCAAAATCCAACCATGTATCCTTAGTTTACAATATCTGAAATATAAAATCAGAATGCATGCTACCTATTAAAACCTTATGTAAATATTCGGCCTTTGATCATGGTTACTTTGATTAGAAATATTTACATCAAGATAATGTTACATGTTAGGACTTTCCTCTTGTCCAATAAAGCCAACTGGCCATCTGTTAATAGAAGGGGTAATAAGAGCAATGCATGCGGAGAATCAATCAAATTCTATGGGAATGAGATTATCACCACCTAAAACAATATGGGAGGGCAAGGGCAGCCACGAAAATCGGTGCCACCGTCGCCGGAAAATCGCGATGAAGCAACAAGCTCGTATTAAGAGAAGTTAGTAACAGTGAAGAAATTAGAAACCAAAGAACTTGAAGCATATATGGAGAAACCCACTGAAGTAGAAGAGGAAATTGCGAACAACAATGTTTCAACCCTAGAAGCCGAGCGAAAGGAAGAACCAAAGGCGCTCAGGAAATGATGGACTGATGTGCTTAGTAACAACAGGAATCCGGAGAATAGTATAGATTTTGAATATGTCGCACCCAAATTGGTGAACAGAGAAATTGAAAATAGAAATCGAAGAAGAGGATGTCACATCTGAGTTGAAATTTTGGGAATCGGCCTTAATCTTGTATGTGTCGGGAGGAGATCTAAGCATGAATACGATGAAACAATTCATGATGAAGACATGGAGTTTTGTCCAATTACCAGACATTTATCATGAAGAACACTACTTCATCCTCAAATTTCGATCGCATTTGGATAAGGATTTTGTTTTGAGGAAAGGACCCTACACCATAAGGAATATGCCCGTGTTGATTAGGAATGAACACCTGGGTTTAATTTGAAGAATGGCAGCATGATGCAAACTCTACCGATATGGATTAAATTACCACAACTCTCACTGCATCTATGAGGTCCCAAAAGTTTAAGCAAGATTGGAAGCGCAATTGACACACCACTGGTTACAGATGAATGTACTGCTAATAAGCTTAGGGTTTCCTATGCTAGAATATTGGTGGAGGTGGACATTACACATAATCTGGCCAAGGAAGTCATAGTAAAAGATAGGGAAGGACAAATTATGAAACAACCTATTGAGTATGAATGGAAAACTCTTTTCTGCGAAACCTGCCATAAAGGGGGACATAAATGTGAGGCTAAGACTCAGAAGTTGTGGAGACCTAAATTTAAAGTGACTGAAGAAGGAAAGCTTGATACCAAGGCGGAGGATACATCTAATGTGGCTGGAACAAGTAACTCTGAGGCAACAAAGAAAGATGATTGGCACAAAACTAGTAGGACAACAAGAAACAAAGGTAAAACCCCTCAATTGATTGGATCACCAGGTACTATTCATTGTGAGAATGTCTTTGAGACACTAGATATTTTGAATTATCCTCTAGTTCCCCAAGATAGTGGTCAATGTTAGTGGCTTGAAATGTTAGGGGGCTAAATAAGTCTGGTAAGCTAAAGGAGATTAGCTCCTGTCTCCTTAAGCTTCACTCAGAGGTAGTTATATTGCTTGAAACTAGAGTTAAGATTGACAAAGCTAATAAGGTTAGGAAACAACTCAACCTTAGAGGTAATATTTAGACAGTTATCACAAACATGCTAATGGTAGAATATGGCTGGAGTGGGATGATAGTAGAATTGACATCAGGCATGTGAGAAACACAACCCAAATGATACATTGTGGGATTTTTGACATCAATGGTACTTTCAAAGCTTGGATGACGGCTATTTATGCCTTAAATCAACTTGAACAAAGCAGAATGCTTTAGAAAGATCTGGAGGATGTTCATAAAAATCAACATGGGCCTTAGTTCCTTATTGGTGACTTCAACAATGTGGTTAAGTCGATGGACATGATTGATGGCAATATGGTAACTGAAAATGAGCATGTGGATCTGAATAACATGATGTTAAATACATGTTTGTTTGAGAAATATAGCGTTGGGGACTATTATACCTGGTCCAATAAACATAATGTTGGAATCATTTATTCTAGAATTGATATTTTTCTTGGGAATGTTGCTTTGCTTCAAAATAATGTTGGCATGACTATGAAAACACTACCACCTAGTGTTTCAGATCATGCCCTGTTATGTCTGTCTGGTCAAGAGAAGAGAGAGAGCAGAAGGTCCAATTTCAAGTTTATCAATAGAGTGGTTAGTATGGAGAGATATCATGCTACTATTGTTACTAGCTGGAACAAACTGATGGAGGGAAGGCCCATGTCAATTTTATGGCACAAGTTAATGAGGCTGCAGTCAACTCTGAAAAAGCTGAGCAAGCCTTTCTTTAGCATAAAAGTGTCCATATCTCAAGCTAGAACTGATCTCTTGAAGGCTTAAGAGGACCTCATCACTGATAGAATAAATGTAGGGAAGATTGAAGAGGTTAAGAACTGTACAGAGAAAGTCATCTACTGGCATGAACTTGAGGAACAATTATTGAGGCAAAAGATAAAAATTGATTGGCTTAAGGAGGGAGATAGTAATTCAGCCTATTTTCAAGCTTCTGTTAAGGCCAATTATTCTGCTACTAGTCTCAACCTATTGTACAAAGATTATGGCACTCCTATTCAAAAGCATGAAGACATTCTTCAGGAGGTTTTTGACTTTTACATCACAACCATGAGGTAAGTCTGAACCAGATAGATATCACAACCATGAGGAAGGGACATCAACTCACCATGGAGCAGAGATCCAACCTTATTGTTCCTGTGACTAAGCTTGAAATAGAAAATGATCTTAAGGGCATTGGAGACTTAAAATTCCTTGGTATTGATGGCTATGGAGCCAAATTTTTAAAGGCCAGTTGGGATACCATCAAGCATGATGTGATAGCAGCAGTGAAGGAATTATTTGACAAAGGTGCTTTGTATAGAGCTTTCAATGAAACTGTGGTTACCTTGATCCCAAAACATTCAGCAACTAAGACAATTAAAGAATACAAACCTATAGTAGGGTATATCACCTTCTATAAAATCATTTACAAAATTCTTACTGCTAGGCTTCGAAGAGTCCTTGGGAGCACCATCAACTAGTCTCAGGCAGCCTTTTTCCTGTCTAGAAAATCCACAATCACATATTATTGGCTTTTGAGTTTATTAAGGGTTACACTAGAAAAAGAGGGGGCCCTAGATGTATGATACAACTTCACCTTAAAAAAGTATATGACATGGTGGATTGGCATGCACTAGAGTGCATCTTGAAAGAGATTGGTATACCTAGAAATTTTTTCAATTGGATCATGCTAAGTGTTTCAACAGTCTCATACATGTTCAATATTAATGGCACTTACACTGATAGCTTGGTGGCTAGAAGAGGAATCAAACAAGGTGACCCCTTGTCCCCACTTATATTTATTATTACCATGGAGTATCTTAACAAGTATCTCCATAAAATGTAGAGGAACCCTAACTTTAACTATCACACTAAATGTGAGAGGCTGCAGATCACCAACCTCACATTTGCTGATGGTCTTCTCTTTTCCAGGGGGGACCATGGTTCCATTGAGCTGATGCAACAAACCCTTCATATGTTTCTTGCCTAGGACCAAAGATGGACTCAACATTTTTGCTTTAGAGTTGTGGAACAAAGTGTACATGCTAAAGCTTTTGTGGAATATTAGTGCCATGACTGGAAGTTTATGGGTGTGATAGATCCACATATATCATCTGAGGCAAGAAGAGGTGATGGACGTTAATGTTAAGGTTAGTGATTTCTGGATGTTTAAAGCTATTTTGAAACAAAAAGAGACTATTGGATTTGTGTAGACCCTATGGAACCAAATGTTGCAGGAAGATAAGTTTAATGTTAAGAAGTTATATCATAGCTTGTCAACTAATACCCCCATTGTTCCTTGGTACAAACTAATGCTCCATAATAAAGTTCGGCATAGGGTTGTTATGTTGTTATGGTTGGTCTGTCATGGAAAACTAGCAACTAAGGCTAGACTACATAGGTTTAGTATGGTGGCTAATACCCAATGTGTGCTCTGTATCAAAGATGAAACTATTAACCACTTGTTTTTTGGGTGCTTGGAATTGAAGAATGTTTGGGCCAAAGTGTTGTTTAGATTAGGATACAATATGACCCGATGGAATGGGAAGATGGACTTAATTGGATCTTGAAGCATTATAAAGGAAAAGGTGGGAGGACAAGCCTGATGAAACTTGCTTTTACATAGACCATTTATGAGCTTTGGAAATATCGTAATGATATTTGCTTTGGCCATGGTGTGAATAATAGGAATATAGATGAAAAATCATTGATATGATTGTTCATAAATGGTGGACTAGTCATTTGCTTAAACCACATATTGCTATTTTAATGTTGCCTTAAGCTATAGGTTTTGTCCTTTGGTGTATTTGAGGGCTGGATCTTAGTGATCACTTTGTATTACCTATTTTTTGAATTAATAAAATACTTTGATTAAAAAAATCATAATAATATATTGGTTGTTTTTCTCATCATACGTAAATTTGTTCTATCGGTTTAACGCATATCTAGTCTTTTTGATAACGGTTCAGATAAACGATTATCGACCCGAGTTTGTTTTTGTGCGCCATAGTTTAAACATTTTAAAACAAAATTTTTTATTGAAAAGTTTATTTGAGATCTATTCAACCCTCATTCGAGATCATAGCCCATCGTTTAACAAATAGTATATAGAGTTAGAGGGATGGAAGGTTGAAGCTAGCGAAACCAGAAAAGTTTGATAAAAAGAGGTTTTACTTGAACACCCTAGGTTCCCCAAAGTAAGATATGATTCTAACATGTAGATTTGTACCATAGTACTCAGACTCTAAGAAGTACCCCCTAAGTAGTTTATCATGACAGTCTGACATAATTTAAATTCGCACGCATGTGTGATTGATTGAGAAATAAACAATTTTAGCACCGAAATGATGAAAAAGGTGATAAAATGCAACTACACCTTATAAGTTGGGTAACCTTCACCTGGTTATTCAGCTCAATGGTGGTTGAACCCCAAACACCGTCCCAAAGTGGACAATAAATAAACACACAAAAATGTGTTAAATTTCATCGGTAAGTAAAGATGACAATCGTTGCATATCTGGTGTCTAAACAAAAATTATCGATCAGTCTTGTGCATGTGATGACTATCATAATTCCTAATGCCTTAATTAGATTGTCTGAATGAAAAGGGAGGAAAATTGGAAATGAGACTTAAGTACAAACCATAATTAGAGAGATATTTGAAAGGGAAACTTAGGTCACTAGTTTCACTGTGGTTAGTGTTCTCGTAAAAACTCTTGGCATCAGATGAGTACCGAAAGAACTAGTCTTTAACCGTTCTGAACAAAAACTCGGGTATGAGTACCGACATGCTTCATTTTCATAAGCTCTTTCACTTGATGATTCACTTTATCCAAAAAATTCGCATATGCAAGCTTTGTTGTTTGAGGACAAACAACAATCTAAGTTTGAGGGAGTTTGATAAGTGATTTTTGTATTGTTTTTATTGGTAATTTTACTTTGTTATTTCATCATTTTTATCCTTTTTTCCCTTCATTTTATTATGCTTTATGCTTTGGTATTGTGTTTCTGTTGTTTTCAGACCTTAATAAGCATTTCGGGCAAAAGAAGGGCCAAATTAGATGAAACGCGGAAAAGGGTGAAAAGTCGAAGTTTCTCATACAAAATCCAGGGGGATGTTAGGCCACCCGTAAGGGATATTATGATCCGTAACAATAAGGCGCCCCAGACTTCCCAATTTTGATGCCCATGCTAAGAACACGTGGCCTGTTACGGGCCGTAACATGAAGGCATGTTTCCATCTTTTTGTTTCCTTTCTCGATTCGATTTGTTGTTGATTTGGGACCTTTGCACATTCCAATTCGAGTTAATTATGTTTTTAAAGGCATTGAAGTTGAATGTTTTATCCATGTTTAGAATAAGCTATAAAACTCATAGGTAGTTGAGTGTTAGAGCCATCCAATTTTTTATCGTAGAATTTCTTTTTCACGCACTTTTACTTTCATCACTTTGTACAAGTCTCCAATGGAGCAGGTGGATCAAATTATATTGAAGCTTTTCTTTTATTCAGGTTTTATTTACCGCTTTAATTGTTATTGTTATTTTCTATTGTTAATTATGTTTTCATCCGCAAGAATTATTTTGTTTGAATCGTCTCTCACCATGAGTAAGTAGTTTTCTAGGGACCAAGGATCATGAACCCTATGAATGATTATCTGTATGAATTAGCTTAAGTCAATTATGAGAATTTCATCCTTTTATTTTAAATCCTGATTTTTTTATTCAAACCTCGCCACGAAAGTGAAAGTGTTTTTAGGCATTTACCTTAATCTGAAAGGATAAGTGTAAACGTTGGAAAGCAGTTTTTAAACGGTTAAGTCCGAAGTCACGAAAGTGATCGGATGAAATTAAGAAAATGATTCATTGTTAATAGTCGTGTAAAATTAATGATTACTGATGAATGCTTTTACGCGAGCGAAAGTCTTTGAGCTTCTCGTTCGTCAAAGATATGGCAATACGCTGGCGAAAGCAGGTATTGTCCACAATAATACATTTTTCTATAAAGGGTTAAATATACAAACCCCCATGTAGTGTTAGCGAGTTTAGGTTTTAGCCTCTAGTAAAGTTTTTTTTAATTCCCCCTTATATTATGTAGATTCCCTCACATAACCCCCATTAGCCAAGTGGCATAGAATCTTCACCCATAATTTCATGCGTGGATTTTTTATTTTATTATTTTTCAAATTTGTTTCCACATGTGCATGACAGCATGACATAATTATTCTGATCCAACACCATACAACATTAGGGTTTGTTTTTCCCTATTTCTCTCTGCATTTAAAGTCGTCATTTTAAAGAACTCGTCGCCTTCAGTCGTCCAGCGGCATCTGTATTCATGGGTAGAAGCAAGTCTTCATCAACGAGTAATCTGGGTAAGGGTTTGCCAAGATGTGGGTGCAACAAAATCATGAAGTTGTGGGTATCTAACACCCTAAAAAATCCAAGCAGAAAATTCTGGAAATGTATAAATTTCATGGTGAGTTGTTTATAAGGTTGTAATTCCTTTTATATTAACCTTTTCAGTTATTTGTGTGTTAATATTGATTAAAATTGTAGAATGGTTGCGGATTGTTTGTCTGGGACAATATGGTTAGTGAGGCTGAAGTGAATTCATCCAGATGCTGCGAGTGTGACATGAACAAGGGTCATTTGAGAGAATTTGCGAAGGATACAACATTAGGGTTTGTTTTTCCCTATTTCTCTATGCATTTAAAGTCGTCATTTTAAAGAACTCGTCGCCTTCAGTCGTCCAGCGACATCTGTATTCATGGGTGGAAGCAAGTCTTCATCAACGAGTAATCTGGGTAAGGGTTTGCCAAGATGTGGGTGCAACAAAATCATGAAGTTGTGGGTATCTAACACCCTAAAAAATCCAAGCAGAAAATTTTGGAAATGTATAAATTTCATGGTGAGTTGTTTATAAGGTTGTAATTCCTTTTATATTAACCTTTTCAGTTATTTGTGTGTTAATATTGATTAAAATTGTAGAATGGTTGCGGATTGTTTGTCTGGGACAATATGGTTAGTGAGGCTGAAGTGAATTCATCCAGATGCTGCGAGTGTGACATGAACAAGGGTCATTTGAGAGAATTTGCGAAGGAGATCGTTAAGGAGATTAATAGCATAGTAGGTAAAAAATGAGGAGCATAAGGGAGGTCAAACAAGCTGAAAAAATTGAACAGAAATGTTGTATTGGAAAAGACAAAGAATTTCTTGATGATGATTGTAATTGTTCTGTCATGGATGATTTTCGCAGTTGTGTATAATTTTAAGTAGTTGTTATGTTTTCAAAATGTAATTGGTACTTGGTGTTCATGGGTTGTAGTTGTAAGACAAACCAGTTTGTGTTGAATTAAAGCCTATGTTTTGTTGTCCATTTCATTGTAATTGTAAGACAAACCAGTTTGTGTTGAATGCAAGTTTAAGTTAATGTTTCCATTTCATTTAGAATTGATGAAATTTAGTTTAAGTTATGTTCAATGACAATAATTTTATATAAAATCTTGACAACGTAGTTGAAATAAGTTAGATTAACAAAATCACACGGTGCATATGTCTTTTACAACATTACCAAAAGGACACAAAATGCACATACAACGAATAGGTCTATTACAACATTACAATTTGAAACAAGCACACATTGGTACAAAAGACACATATAATGATTAAGTCATTACAATATAACATAATACTTAATCTCTTATCTTTTTGGTCTTCCATGTTTTCATAAACCTTGTTTTCACTCCTAGCTTGGAGTCTTTTGAACCTGACTTCTCTCCAACTTCTGGTATGGTAATTGGCCGTTCACTAGATCCTGGGCCTGTAATTGATTTCTTAAACCAACTCAATTTATCCTTTCACTTTGACTTATTTTTATGACCATGTTCTTTCCTTTCTGTTTCTTCGATTGCCTGAGAATTGAGTTAGCCACAACAGATCTGATTTGACTCATAACAGTTAGTATAACAATGTCAGTCTCAATATGCCTATCAGTGGGAAATGCAAAATCAGTAGCCATTGTACTTTGTCCATCAGTAGGCATTGAACTCTATCCATCATTATGAATTGAATTCTCTCCAGCATTAGGATCTGAACTCTGTCTATCGGTAGGAACTCAACTATGTCCATCAGTAGGAACTGTCGTCTCAGCTTCGACAATTTTTTTTACATTTTTAACTTTCCTCTACACAAATAATAAAATGTAATATTAGCCACAAACAAATTAAATTTTGTACAACAAATTGAATTTTAATAAACACAATCATACCTCTCTTTTCAGTGTATTGGGGTCCTGTGTCAATGCCTTGCAAGTTAATTCATTGTAACCAAACTTGTCACATTTGGTGCACTTATATGAAACCCCAAGTCTTCTCTTTCTTGCACCTTCCTCTCCAAGTTCTCTTATACTAACCTTCCTAGGCCTTTCTGGACCTTTTTTGTATGATGGTGGTAATACTTGTTCCATTTCTACTTCTGACCACATATCTTGACCATTGATATGGCTTATTGAAAATCCATAACAAAATACAAATTTTTCTCTAGTGTAACACTCATCAACAAAGTCATTTAGGTTTTACTTCCTATAACTCAAAGCTTCCACAACATGCCTACAAGGTATTCCTAATAACTCTCAGAAGTCGCAGCTACATGACCTATTAGCTATGTTAACAATAAACTCTTGTTTGTTGTAACTATGAGTGACTTGGAATTGCTCAGCCATGGACCATGTTTGAAACCAATATCCACTATTGAACACTTCATTATTTAACCTTCTCTTAGGTATTGTCATCACTCTATGTTGCCACTTTTCTAGTTTACTGGAAGATGTAGCTAACTTATTCATAATATATTTCCTTAAGAATGATGCAAAATCGTATGCATTGTCATCCTTTTTATCATAGTATATCCTTCTTGAATTTCTATAACTTTAGTCCATAACCGAAAATTACCATCCTTATACCCCCACCTACTCACCAACTTCAGAATACTATACATTGTCCAATTAGTAACTTCTAGCCCATTTACAGTCGAATCAACCACCCTTCTGTAAATAATTTTAGTCGGATTAACCCTAATAAATTCATTCCATGGTGAAAAGTAACATTAAAAGGTTAGAAATCATGTGAATAAATCAAACCCAGTAATCAAAATATTACCCTAATATTACACGTTAATTGTGATGAAGTTTAAAAATTAACTTATCTTAGACATTGAAAGCTTCGTATTCGTCTTCATCGTCGCCTGATGCTTCATCTTCGTCTTCGTTATTGCATGAGCTTCGTCTTCTTTGCAGCTAAAACTTCTTCACATGAACCCTAAATTTTGCATGGGGTTTTTTGAAATGTATATACTAACTAGGCTATTAATTGAGTAAATGAAAATTCCATGTGTGTTAATAAAAATACCACGTGGAGAGAATTTCAAATTTCGAGTGAAGATTCCATACCACTTGGCCAATGGGGGTTATGTGAGGGAATCTACATAACATAAGGGGGGGAATAAAAAAACTTTACCATGGGATAAAACCTAAAGTCGCTAACATTACATGGGGATTTGTATATTTAACCCTTCTATAAATTGTGTCGAAACTCTCGCAATATACTCCATCCGTTTGAAAATGACTATCATTTAAGGTTTTTGCACACATATTAAAAATGCAATAATTATTGTCATAAGACATTACACTTTTACAAAATTAACCTTATTAATGTATCGGAAGTAGTGTCTAGAGTAAAAAAGTAAAGAGTATAATTGGAAAAATGGTAATCATGACTACATTAAAAAGTGAAAATGACAGTTATTTAGAAAAAAAAATATTTGCTAAAACGACTGTCATTTTGAAACGGAGGGAGTAAGTGTAAACGTCGGGAAAACAATTTTTAAACAGTTAAGTCCGAAGTCAAGAAAGTGATCGGATGAAATTAAGAAAATGATTCATTTTTAATAGTCATGCAAATTAATGATCACTGAAGAATGCTTCTACGCGAGCGAAAGTCGACGAGCTTCCTATTTGTCAAAGATAGGGCAATACGCTGGCGAAAGCAGGTATTGTCTACAATAGTATATTTTTCTATAAATTGTGTCGAAACTCTCGTAATAGAAGTGCTTAAGCCATACTGAAAAGTCAAAAGTAGGATTCATGACCCTAAGTGTTGTTTGTCTTATTATAATTTTAATTAAGCT